AAAAAAAAAAAAAAAAAAAAAAAGGTTACAGACAATGCTGGTAACATCCTGTTTCTTTTCTTTTTAAAGTAAATATTTATTTTTAAAATATATCTTTATTCATTTCAGAGAAGAAGAGAGAGAAAAATATCAATATTGAGAGCGGCGTCATTGATGGGCTGCCTCCTGCATGCCCCCGACTGGGGATCGAGCCCACAACCTGGGCATGTGCCCTGACTGGGAATCGAAAAGGGATATCCTGGATCCTAGGTTGATGCTCAACCGCTAAGCCACGCCTGGCCAGGCAACATCCTGTTTCTTGATTGGGGTGCTAGGTTATACAGATGTGTCCACCTTGTGAAACTGCACTGAGCTATGCACTTAAGACAGGTGTGCTTTTCCATCTCTGGAAAATCTAGGTAAAAAGTTATTTTAAAAAAGGAGACTAAAAAAATGAAACAATTCCCTCCAAACTGCATGTATAAAGACAGCTATCATCTGCCTTTTTGTGAATATTTATGCCTTAAAGCAATCCTAAAAGGCAGGTGCTATCACTTGCATTTATAAAAAGGGGATTCAAGAGGCAAAGTAACATGCTCCAGGTTACACAGCTAGTAAATGGCAGAGCTGGTATGAACGGCCACGAGGAGCCCCAGCCTATAATGCTCCAAGCCTGTGCTCCTTGGACAGTCTCAGGCCTCAGCTTTGTTCTTATTTCAGTAATAATACTTAAAACTTATCTTACTAGTTCAGCTATAAAGACTCAACCTCTCTTGTGCTGTGACAACTTACCACGTAACAGCCTTTCAATAAAGCTAATATATCGTTTCTTAACTCAGGGTTTCTCAAGCCTGGCTCAGAGAGATTTCCCCTTTACAAGGAGGCCAGCAGGCTACCCTGGTTTGAGACATGCTGCTCTGTACAGCACACTCAGTCCCCAGGACTCCACAGAAGCCAGCAGGGAAGGAGGCCATCCCTCGGCCCCACCCACGACCAAGTCTCACCATTTGGGAGGTCCGAGGTCTCCAGGCAAGGCAGCTTCCGGGGCCGGCCAGGTCTCCTTCTGGGTCTCAGTGTACTGGGAGTGGGGCGCTGGGGCCGTAGCTGTCGGCCCCGGGGCTCATCCTCAGCTGGATTGTAGTCGCTGTCCTCTGTGGGGACAGTGAGAGAAGGTGGGGATTCAGTGCTGGATCCACCCTTTCAGCCCTGATCCCTTGCCCCACTTCTCGAAGAAGAGGCCCACTTCCCCATCCCTGTCCACTCTTCCTTCATGCCCACCAGTGATGCCTCCTCCAGACAGCCCTCCTGATGTCCCCGTGGCTGACTGTGCACATCCCTTTCCAGGCTTCTGCAGTCCTTCCTCTGCATTTTTCCTGACACCTGCCATTAGCTTACGCAGCACCTTTATGTGAATTAGAAAAAGGCGCCCCTTCCTCAAGACACTTTATAGACACTGTTAGAAAACAGTTGAAATAAACATTCAAGTCTACAAACTCTATGACTGTGCAAGACACAAAGTCTATGACAACACAGAAGCCATTGGATGAATGTGGCTACTGAGCCCCTGAAATGTGCCTAGCCTAAACTGAGACAGACATAATTAAGTGTAAAATACACACTGGATTCCAAAAATTAGTATAAAAAAAAAAAGTAAAATAACTCCCTAACAATATTTTATAATGATTGCATGTTGAAATAATACACATATTGGGTAAACTATACAATTAAACTTAATTCCATCCTTTTAAAAAATATGGCTATAAAAAAGAAAAGTACATCTGTGGCTTGCATTCTATTTCTGTTGGACAAATGTGAATGTGGCCCTTAGCTGTGGTTGGTGCTTTTTCAGTGCACAGCCTGCACAACTGCATACAGAGGTCATAATCCCAGTGCCCCAACTCTTCCATTTTTTACTGAAGGCACCTATGGCTGTTTCTGTGCCAATTCTTTTTACCTGGCTCTCTGTGAGGGCCAGAAAGAGCCCAGTATTTGTTGATGGGGGTGGAGGTAGTATGCCTGGGAGCCACAGTAGCCTACCCTCTAGGTCGTCAATGGCACCGGCATCTACAATATCATCATCATCTTCCTCCTCTGGTGCCTCTTCCTCTTGGGTCTTGGTCGAGGTACCCCATTTCCGTGGACGTCCCTTCTTACCAGCTGCTGCTGCTGCCGCTTGTGGGAAGGGGGTAAGATAAGCTTCTGTGTCTGGCTCTCAGCACCCCATCCCCACCTATGCAGTCCCAGCCAGATAGGCTGCTATCAATGCACCTGGGCGGAAGTGCCGCTCCCGCATGTGGCGTAGTAGTGTGGCCTTGGTGCTGCTCCGGTATTGGCACATCTTGCACTTGAAATGCTGCACCACCACCACCTCCATCATGGCCTCCAGGCTCTGCAGGTCTGGCTCCTCAGTGCCAGAAGCCGGGGGAGGCTGTGCTGGGGAGCTGGACCCACCCTGTGCCTCCTCAGGTGGCTCCAGGCATGTAGATGTAGACGTGGGGCCGTCAGCCAGGGCCTCAATGGCTGCCAGGCTGTGGGCCAGGGTGGAACTGGACATTGGCGATGCTATGGGGGCACCTGGGGGTTGGTGAGGGAATCGGAGGGAAGGGAAGTGGAGGGGGAGGTTGGCCATGAGCTACAGCTGTCCCACCCAGGCAGGCCCAGGAATCCTAGAACCCAACTCCCTACCAGAGTAACAGTGGGGAAACTGAGGCCCAGAGCAGTGGATACTCTGTCAAGATCACACAGTGAGTTTGTTGCTGAGCCTTCCTCTCCTACTCTCACGTCCACTGCAGGGCTTCCTGGGTCTGGACCCTGGAGTCTTACCATCGTCTGGTCCCTGCAGGATCAGGTACCGTGTGGTCTCAGCCCCACCATCCTCAGCACTGGTCACAGTGATGCAGCCTAGTCAGAGATGTGGGGAGGGAATTTTCAGTTGACAATGACAATTGTCATTGCCCACTCATTCTGGCTCACCGGTGTGACTCTGAACCAGCTGCATCACCCCACTGAACCTCGGATGCCTCTCCACTCCCCACCCACCCAGGGTAGGGCTATTGGGAAGTCTGGTTTGTGTGCCATGATGACCCACAGTCATACAGATGCCATGGCTACCCAAGCTGACCTGCCTATGACCACTAAACCTGGAGAGTTCCCCTCCTTCCTCTTCAAACTTCCCCAAGGTTAAGGTTAAGGTCCAGCTCCTGCACCAGTTTCTTAGGGTTGGCTTTCCAGACCATCCCAGGGTTTTTCCTTTACATGCATCATTAATAGCAGGTACAGTTTGGAAAACCATGAGCTCTGGAGTCAGACCATCTGAGCTCAAGGCCCAACAGTTGCTGGAGACAGTGGGTAAATTATTTTACATCCTCTGTGCCTCCGATTTCTCATTTACACTGTGAGGATAAGAATAGCACCTACCTTTTGGGGTTCCTGGGAGGATTAATGAGCTATTGGATGTAAAGTGTTTAGAACAGACCTCAGTATAAAGTTAGGTGTTACTGTTTATTTATTGAGTGCTTATCATATGCCAGTCACTATGCTAAGAACTTGACTGTACTGGCACATTAAATCCTCACACCATTTGCCACTATGAGGTAGTTATCATCCCCATGTTATACATTTAGAGTGGGAGAGTTACTTTCCTCAGTTTTCATAAGCAGAGATGGTTCTACTGGACTCTGCAGGGAAATCCCAGGGGGCTGACTCTTGCCACCCTCTGCCTGACTTACTCTGGATGAGGTCGGGCCCGATGGTGGACTCGATGATCTTGTCGATGGCTGAGCCCAGGTCTGAGGAAGAAGCTGTGCAGTCGGACACCAGCATGTTGGGGTCTGGGAGTGCGCTGGAGTGCACGAGAGCTGGGGGGCCACCTGCCACCCCTGCCACTGGCCCATGGGACACAGAAGATGAATCAGGGAGGTAGCCATGGGGCAGGGGGTCCGTGCTTGAGCTGCTCTCAGATACCTCCTCCTGGGGGACAGGAAACAGGGAGAGAGGGAGTTTAGGAGCCAGGGATGGGGCAGGGCAGGCTGCCACCCTCTAGATAGAGCTTCTAGGCCCAAGGACATGGTGAGTGGAGACACCCATACCCTCGGCCCCATTGAGTACTAGTGAGAGAAGCCCTCCAGTTGCAGAGCTCCCTAAGAACAAGTCCCAGGGTACCTGGCTCTGGTCAGGTAAAGGCCCCATATCCCCTACACAACAGCCAGGTGTAGCTATTTTTGTTCCACTTTCGAATAAGCTATTCCCTCTGCCTGAAATGCTTCTCAGCATTACATCATGGCTAAATTTTCCCAGCTTTCTTCCCGCCATTTGGCTGGTACCTCTTCTTGGAAGCTGACCATGACCCAAAAGGCCAAATTAGGACTTCCCTTCAGTGCTGCAGTCGCCTGTGTTCCCACATCACAGCACTATTTACTGTGTAGTGTAACACCTCCCAGGTCTGGCTGTACCCTCCATAAGGGCTGGGACCACATTTGTCTTGTCCCTGCTGTATCTCCAGGATCCAATGCAAGCTGGGCACATGGTAGGTCCATCTCTGCTGAATTAATGAAACCCTGGACCCCAAAGTGGGGGCCATTGTTGTGCACCTCTATAATGTCTTGAAAATGATCACTGTCTTGCCCATAATAACAACAGTAATGGCTAATACTTGAGTGTTTATTATGTGCTGAGCACTGTTTTAATTGCTTTGCTCATATTAATTTAATCCTTACAAAAACCCTATTGGGGCAGGTATGTTCATCATTCCCACTTTATAGGTGAGAAAACTGACAGCTACAAGTTGGGTAGCTTGCTCAAGAGCAAGGGTGCTAGGGAAGCGGCAGAGCCAGGAGGAGATGGTTTTACAAAGTGTTTCCAAGAGAATGCCTGGTGGGAGCTCACAACAGAGTATGCTCAGAAGCAGGTATTCCTACTCTGTTTTACAGACAGGAAGACTGAGGCTCAAAGAGGTACTCTGTGAATCAGAGGCAGAGGCAAGACTTGAACCAGGACACCTATCTCCCAAATAGTGATGACAGTGGGTAGTGCAGTGGGTAAGACCACAGCCTAGATCTGAATCCTGGCCCTGTCAGCGCTCCGTGCCTCAGTTTCCTTTTCTGTAAGATGTAGAAAAAAGTGTTATGTGCTTTACAAGGTTTGAGGCTTAAATGAGAAAATCCATGTTAGGGGCTTGGCATGGCGCCTGACTCACGTTAAACAAAAAACAAATACTAGCTACTGGCCAGCCTTACTGGCTGCTTCCCCTTGGCTGCCAGGCGCTGCTGCCTGCGGTCCCCACCTCCACCCACTCCGGCCAGCACGGTCCATACCAGAGAGTTGCTGCCGCGGTCCGAGCTTTGCCCCACTTCCGAGTCGTCGGCCTCCGCCGGCCCCGGGGCTGCCGCTGCGTCGCTGCTGTCGGCGGACACCGCTTCTGAGGTGCCCACACCCAAGTCGCTCTCAGAGGGCTCCTCTGGCTGGCCAGGCCCAGGGGCCGCGTCACTACTGCTCTCCACCTCGTTTTCCTCCATGGGCTCGGGGGGCCGCCTGACAAGGGGGCGCAGGGTCTGGGGCCTTCACTCTGAGAGAAGAGGTGGCGGGTGCTGGTACAGGTGGGCCACCTTACTGGCGCCGGCAACCACGGCCCACCCAGCAACACCCGTGTGCCCATTTTGCTGACGAACAGACTGAGTCTCCGACGGGGTGAGGCTTTCGCGTGTGCAGAGAGGGGAGCTTCGGTAAAACGGGACCGAGAAGCCTTGCCCTTCAGGCCAGGGCCCTTCCCCATCCCCGGGAGTGTGGTCAATGGCCAGTATGACTCCTCTCTCCTCCCCTCCACGATTCCCTCACTGTGGTTCGCTGTAAGGGTCCCGTCAGGGCCCAGTGGTTCAGCCCTTCGGCATTCTGAGTACCCCTGGGTATACAGGGTCGGTGGTACAGCCCACAGGCCCCCTTGGTCAGTGGCTCGCTCCCCCTTCCCCTAGTTCCCTCGCGGAGGGGGCTGACAGCTACGGTCCCGGGGCCTGGCGACCCGGGGCTGTCCCCGGCGCTGCCTGCGCTCCAGGCCCGACGCCATCTTGCGGCGGCGCCGGGTTTCCGCTCAGGCAACTGCGAGAGCGACTAAAGGGCCTGGGACCCCGGGGCCCTGTTCGGACAGCCCCGCCGGCCTGGACCTTGCTGCCGGGTGTTCCCGCAGTGTGGGCCCACTTCACGGCAGGGTGTAGTGGGACGACCTGACTCTACTCGACGCTCACCGGACGCTTCCGTAGCGGCGTTCCTCTCCGACTCCGGCATCGACGAGGTCGCCATCTTCTTTCCCCTGCTGCGGAGGGACCCATCGACCTAGCGTAGGCCGGAACTACTTTCTACGGCGACCTGGAGAAAGAGAGGTTTCCAGTGTGCCGGAAGGTGTCCCCGAGGCCTCAAAACCATAGTGGAGTCTGGAGAGAGGCTAGGATTTTATACGTGCCTTATTATGGGTGACGGAGTCCGCTATGGTTTAGGGACTACTTTCTCTCATGGCGGAGTGTTACAACGGGAGTTGAACGCCGTCTCTGCTGGGCCCCTACCTTGGGCCGCAGGGTTGGGCGCGGCGAAGGCCGCCCTGCTGCTCGGGGCGTGGCTCCCAGTGTCCTGACCACGCCTTTCCCGGAACGACCCAGGAAAGCTTGCAGCGACCGGGAGGATTTGACTTGGAGGTGGAGAAATAAATGTTATCGGTCATTTTTCCTGGCTCTTAACCAATAACTTAATGCTCTCACCGGACTAGTAATAGAATCCTTCTCGATTTCGTTTGTGCCTTGGCAGATGGCGAGTTTACAGATGGGGGAACTGAGGTTGTGGGATGGGATGTGACTGGTACAAGGTCACATCAAGTAAAAGGATTTGGGAGGCAAGTCGCGCGGTGTGGAGTTGGGGAAATAGGATTCCATACTTGGCCCTTAGTGAATTTTGTGTACATACTGTAGTCCCCCTCTATCCCCAGTTTCTTTCTTTCTGCGGGTTCAGTTACCCAGGGTCAACTGTGGTCTGAAAATATTAAATGGAAAATTCCAGAAATAAACAGTTAACAAGTTTTAAACTACAGGCTGTTCTGAGTAGTGTGATGGAATCATGTGCCATCCAGCTCCTTCCTGCCGTGGGGATCATTACCTTGTTCTGAGTATCCACCCTGTATATATAACCACCTTTTCGTCACTTAGTGGCCCTCTCAATTATCAGATCAATAATCAGAGAAGAAGACCATGTTCACATAACTTTTATTACAATATATTGTTATAATAGTTACCATTTTATTATTGTTGTTAATCTCTTTCTGTGCCTAATTTGTAAAATAAGTTACCTTTATCATAGGCATGTGTGTATAGGTAAAACAGTATGTATAGGGTTTGGTTCTGTCTTAGGTTTCAGGCATCCACTGGGAGAGGTCTTGGAACTATTCCCCAGGCTAAGGGGAGCCTACTGTATTTGTTACATTAATAGAGCTGGAGGTCAGGACATCCACAGCTCTGCTCTGCTCAGTGTAGATGGTGTAGATGTATTTAAAGATCTGCAGCCCTTTAGAAAGGTATACCTTCCCTCCTGATGCCTGAAAGGCCATCTTTGGCCTTACCCTCTGTTTCAATCTTTTTAGCATTTTGCAAAGGGGCCTGGTGTCCTGGTTTACCCCTAAATCTCTATGTTGCACAACTTATTTTCTTCAGTTGAAAAATACAAACCTTTTTTGTTGGGGGTAGGATCTTAAAAATTCCTTTAAAGAAAACCTATTAAAAAAGACAAAGGATGTTCGGCTCACTGGTTGAGCATTGACCCACAAACCCAGAGTTTACCAGTTCAATTCCTGGTCAGGGCTCGTGCCCGGGTTTCTGGCTCAGTCCCCAATAGGGGGCATACAGGAGGCAGCAGATCAATGTTTCTCTTTCATTGATGTTTCTGTCTCTTTATCTTTCTCCCTTCTTCTCTCTTTAAAATCAATTAAAAAGCATTAAAAAAAAAAAAAGACAAAGGGTGTTTTCAGCTGTTATAATTTGTGTGCACGTGAGCATGAGGGGGCTTCTCTCGCCCTTTCCTAGGAGCAGGTTTTGGTAGGGGAATAGAGCATGAGGCTTTGGATGGGCTAGGCCTCCTCTTCTCCCCCTCCCCCAATCTGACAGGCCCAGGCCCCCCAGATCAGCCCTGGAGAGCTGGGTCAATAATTGCATAGCGACAGGTTGGTTCTGCACTCAACCAGTAGTTTTCCAATGCCAGCCTAATTCCTCATTTCTGCAGAGCCCCCTCCAGACCTCACCCCAGGCCAGTAGGATGCATCCTGCCTCAAGGGTGCCATGGTATTCAGAAGTAGACCCGCAGTACCCATTCCTATCCCTAGTCCAACTAAGGCTCTACCCTGACCTTGGCCTTTGCCACCAAATCACAAGATTGCAGAATGTTATCATACAGAAGGTTTAACAGCCTCATCATGGAACAGAAAAAGAACCCAAGGTCCAGAGAGGGAAAGCTCATGGCCCAATGTCATGATTCTCTGGAAATAACATATCAGAATTCTTCCATCACAAATACAAGCAAGCCAACCCTGGTTTTCTGGCTGCTAATCCAGGGTTCTTTCCATCAGAACATGCAATTTGTAGTACTGGCCTCTGCTTTGATGGGGAGACTTAGAAGCAGTGAAGGGGCTCCAGGTCAAAAGGACATTAAAGAATACCTTTGAGAAAAATGTTAAGGAGAGGAGCCAAGAGGGACAGAGGAAGGAAATCACCGTGCACATGTGCTTTGCTGCATCATGGCATCTATCTTAAGGAAGCTGGGGTTGTTACCCTCCATTGTAGAGAGGAGAAAGCTGAAGCTCAGAGAGAAGTGATTTATTCAAAGTTACAGCAAGAGGGTAGAGCTGGGATATAAAGCCAGGTCTATCTGATTCCAAAACCCCAAGCAGTGTAGGTACCATGTGAAGTATGCTTAGTAATCATAACACTTAAAATACTCTGTGCCTAGTCATTTTCTAAGCACTTTACCTATATTAATTAATCCTCACAAACACTCTATAAGGTAATTGCAATATTATCTCCATTTTACATATGAAGAAACAGGCACGAAACAGTAAAGGGATTGAAAGGGTGGAGCTGGGATTGAAAAACAAGCAATCTGACTCCATACTCCACACTTAGATTATGGTACCATTGCTCATGTAGTAACAATAATACCTGGTTCTTAGATGATATGTTAACTTTCCTGAGTCAGGCAGGATGGTTACTGTTTTTCCATTTTGCAGATGGGGAAACTGAAGCCCAGCGAGAAAAGCTGACTGGTTCAAGATCCCACCACACGTTTCCTAGTCTGAAGTAGAGGGCTGCGATTCCAGGCTGATCTCCTGCAGCAGATGATAATCATACTAGCAAATGTTGATCATGCTCTCACCAAGTACCAGGGGCTGCAGTAGGTGCTCTACATGCATTTCTAAACTAATCATCACAGCAACCAGAGATCCGCCTAGGTACTCTCAAGATTCCCATGTTACACAGTTGAGGAAGCAGAGGCTCAAGAGCAATGAAATGACTTGTCTGAGGTAATGCATTTGTTGGTCAGCAGATCTAGGATTCAAACGCTGGTTTCCTGACTCCCAGTCCAGTGTTCCTTCCACTGTGCTAGATGCCCCAGAGCTGAGAGCAGGCAGTCAGCAGGTGGGTGCTTTGGGACTCATCTCTACCTTCTTACCATGCCACTGCCATCTATCAGTTTAGCTAAACCTGTTCTTAAAAACCTATTTATAGCTTAAAACTGTACCACCACTTGGGATAATGAGCCCCGTTAAGTTGACTCCCCATGGTATAAATTACGGTTTCCTCTTATTTGTCCTAAATCTTTCCCTTTCAGTATTGAAGGGGGTAGGGGTGGTGGGGAATGGCCCTAGGATAAGAACAGTTGGATTCAGAAAACAGTCTGTAGTTCAAATAGTGTTCGATTGTGATGGTAATTCCTGAGACCCAAACAGCAGGTGACATTTATGCAAACATCTCATCTGATCATTACAGAGGCATGAGGGGTAAGCGGCACCTGGATTTTCATGTCTTTTAATCTGTCTTGTTTCTTACATTCCCAACACTTAACACAGTTTTAAGGTCACAAGGAAGCTATTAGATACTTATTTGTTGAATGAATGAGCCCTCATTTTATAGACAAGGAAACAGAGACACAATACCAGGGATCTAGCTAGGAAGACAAGACTGCCAGATGATTCTGTAAAGAGGGAGTCTAATATGGTGAATTAGTTACAAAGTTGATGGGCAGAAAGAGCAACCAGGGGAAGTTGAGGCAAATTTGAGATTAGTAACTCAGGAAGCCACAACCTTCCCTGGGGCTGGAACTATAAAGGGAGGGGATGACATTATCAAGACCAGGAACTGGAGCCACCCAGAGAGGAGGAGCTGGTGACACAATGGGCCTTACTAGTAGGAGCTGAAACCACAGAGGAGATACTGTAGCTGCTGAAGCCACCCCCTTCCCCTCAAAATGAGGTAAAATGAAACAAAATGAGTTAAAATTATAGGCTAATTGATATAAACAATAGTTTAAGTTCCTATGGCATCTCATCAACATTATAACGAAACAAAGGTGAACGAAATGACTATTGAAGGAACTGCATATGTGAAATGGATCTTGTCTTGTTTAACACCGTAGCCCAGTTGCCAAGAAGTTACTGGCACATGGTAGGTGCTCAGTTAATCTCTGTTGGGCCATTGAACAATGAATTATAGATGGCACTGTTATTCTGCCTGTGGGCCCAGGGCTTGTATGCCCTTCCCCTCTGCTCCAGGCACCACAGACGACGTGTGTTCTACATCTACCCAACCCTGGCTAAGAAACCTCTCATACAGCTCAAGGGACTATCTTGGAAGGGAAGGTGGGGACTTCTGGGCCTGTGAGGAGGGGGCGTGCACAGCAGGAGATGAGGGCCTGCAGCACAGAACTAGCGAAGGGATCTAACATTTACTTAGCACCTACTGTGTACCAGATGCTGTATACACTTCATTGCATTTTATCCTCACAGGAGCCTGTAAAGCACAGCTCATTATCCCTGTATTAGAAGTGATGAACTGGGAGTTCAGGGAGGTGAGGACACTTGACCAGCTGGATTTCAACCCTGGATTGCCTGACTCCAGCCTCCTGCTCCTTCCGTGGTACCAGCTGCCTCCCCAAGAGGGCAGGGGAATGGAATCCGAGTCCCATGTCATACAGGAAGCTCCAAGAGCCAATGCTGAGGCCAGGCTTCAGCTGAGTGACAGCTTGAGAGCACAACTTTGACAGCTGTGCTGAGGCTGGCCCGGAAGCAAGTGGTGCTAAACTGGGATTCCTGGGAACAGGATCTGTGATTATAAAGACAAAAGATGGCCAGGGGCTGCAGCAGGGCGCCGCAGAGGTGCTGGGCACTGAACAGAATGTCTTTGGACCCTGCCCCCAACAGAAAAAGCTCCCTGCTAACTGGCTCTGTGACCTTGAGCAAGTCATTCAACCATCTCAGTTCAATGCCCTAACTTGTCACACAGAGTCACCATGCCTGCTGGGTTGCCATGGAATTACATAAGATAATACAAGGAGACAGAACTGGGGCAAGTCCAGGCTAGGGCTCCAATTAGTTGTATGATTTGAGGAAAGTCATTTCACCTCTCTGAGCCTCAGTGTACTGTATAATGGGCATAGTATAATGCCTTCAAATTGCCATGAGGATGTAGTGATTAAAAGCATGGTTTCTGGCCCTGGCCAGTGTGGCTTAGTTGGTTGGAGTGTTGTCCTGTGCACCAAAAGTTTGCAGGTTTTGGTTTCAATCCTGGGTTGATCCCCAGTAGGGACAAGTACAGGAGGCAACCCGATTGATGTATCTCTCTCATATCGATGTTTCTCTCTCTCTTCTTCCCTCTCAAAAATCAATTTAAAAAAAAGGCATAATTGTCTGGGTTCAAATCACACTCTACTACTGACAAGCTGTGAGCCTTTGAGCAAGTTGCTTGATCTGTCTGTGCCTCAGTTTCCTCCTCTGTAAAATGGAAGTGAATATAAGCACACTCACTTGATTCAATGATATAATCAACAGAAAGAACACAGAACAGCATTTGGCACAAGTAAGCTCTGGATCACTGTACGAAATCATTAGCCCTGGGGCTGGCATCTAATAGTAACTAGTCCTGGTTGCATGACAGGCACCCCTTTAAACTCTAATATAATCCTCAAAGCAGTCCTATGAGGTAGGTGACATTACTGTCCCATTTTATTCAAGAGGAACTGAGTTATTCAGAGGTTCAATGACTTGCCTGAGGTCACACAATGATCAGAGGATGGACTAGAATTTCAGCCAGGCAGTTTCTCAACCGCGCACACTTTTATCCCTGATAAAGGCTCCATAGAAAGTCTGTTATGTGAGAACGCTTTTTGAGAGCAGAGTAGATGGCAATTACTTGCGTCCAAGTGCTACTAAATGCTGAGGGAAAGGCTGGGTCCCAGCCTGTGGCCAGAGACCCATGGAGGAGGGACCAATCTGCTCAGGTCCCACCTGTCTCCAGCAGGGGGCACCCGCTGCCCCTGCCCGCTCTCCCAGACCTAAAGAAGGCTGCTGGGTTGGTGGGCTGTGCAAAATCTGTCCAGGCAGACCTTGGGGACAAGGAGGGGCAGCAGAAAGTGACAGTGCTAACTTGTGCAAAGTCTGGAGCACTCCAAGAGGAGTTTATTTCCCCATGAGTTTATCTTAAACCAGGCTGCTGAGCTGCATCACACAGAGCTTCCAAAAGATACAGATGCTTCAGCCCATCTGGCCCCT